GGCCTTTCAGTATCTGTCTATATTTCTGAGATGAGGTATTATGTACACTATTTACATTATTCGAACTATTGTCCTCATCTTTGTCGCTATATCTATTACAATGTTTCGGCCGTTCAGTATCTGACTATATTTCTGCAATGAGGTATTATGTACGCAATTTCCATTATTTGGGGACTATTGCCCCCATCTTTGCCGCCATATTTAGTTTCGGTCGTTGTATGCTCCGGCCTTCTTCAGATGGTTGGAATGTCGAACTGAACCCTTTATTTCGCTCACTAGGGTAGACTGTTCTAGCTCCACGTTTAATGTATGTCAGTTATCAGTTATCTCCTGTTAATTCCCCTCTGCAAGTTCTCCACTGCCTCAAGGACACATGGCACAGTGGATAAAGGCGTTGGTTAGATCCAGTGGTAGGACCCAAAGAGTTGTGAATATAATAGCTGGTTAATAATAACCCATCTGAGAAATATAGACAAAATAATTGCAATGATTAGTTTTTTAAAGATCAATTGTAATTCCGTTTTATATCGGTATAAACAGCTTCATGGCTCTCCACATTTTACTCGTCTTTAGTATGTTTAAATTATCAAGACGTCTTGAGATATAGTTGTTTCAATGCTTCATTTGTTTTGTTTTTTTTTGTTTTTTTTTTTTTACTGCTTGTCAACCCTTTGTGTTTATTTAAAGCTGAAATATTTTTGAATTTGTGGTATAAAATATTTTTTTATTTATTTATTTAAGTATTTTGTTGTTGAAAAGAAATTTTGCATTAACAATTTTTGGTAATGATATTTTTACCAGGTAAAAATATTATTATTTAACACATAGATGGTGGGAGAAATTATGAATTCATTTCTTTCTCAAGGTTATTAGCGTATAAGTAAATGTAATGAACTTGATCGGAAATCGAACACTCGTTTCTCTGATTTCTCATTCAGCCATCTTCCATTACGCCATCTGCACATCCAGATTTACCAAGCTGCCTTCGTTTTCTTTCTCAAACTAGCTGTCCACCAAATCTGGAGAACTCAGCCTACTGTGTATTTAACCCATAGATGGAGCATTGAGAAAAGAAATAATATTGAAATGATAAGGAAGAGAACAGACATCATCAGAATGCGACCGCTATTTTTTTCTTACATATTAACAACGTTTCGGCCGTTGTACGCTCCGGCCTTCTTCAAGTGATTGGATGTCTGAGATGCGATATTATGATTACTTGTATTATTTACATTCGGAATGTTAACCTCATCTTCATTGCAATATCTGTCTATATCTCTGTCTATGTTCGCCACTTCAGTGGCCTGGTATTGAACTCACAATTCTTTGGGTCTAGTCACTGAATTTAATCAACGTCTTTATTCATTGAGGCATCTGATATTGAGGACATCTGCGTAAACGGTTCGATTCCAAATTCCAATCACCTGAAGAAGGCCTGAACGTACAACGATCGAAACGTTGTGAATATGGCATTGAAGATGAGGATAACAGTCTGAATAATGTAAATAATGTAAGTAGTCATAATACCTCATCTCAGAGATATAGGCAGATATATAGAGATACATAGACATTAAGGCCGGCGCGTACTACGGTCGAAACGTTGTGAATAAAGCAATTAAAATGAGGATAACAGTCTAAATAATGTAAATAATGCAAGTAAACCTAATACCTCATCTCAGAGATATAGAGATATATAGAGAGACATAGACAGTAAGGCCGGACCGTACAACGGCCGAAACGTTGTGAATATGGCATTGAAGATGAGGATAACAGTCTATTCTCTAATTTGCAACTTGTGCCCTGATAATCGTTGAGGCAATAATTAGCTGCTTATGCCGATCTCGGATGTACCTGACTCTACATAACACGCTTTATCGTTATACGAGTCTGAGGAGACCAAAAATGCCATACGGCGACATGAGCAGTCCAATCTTATCTCTACAGCATTGAGTTAAAAATCCTTTACGTGGTCTGGTAGGTGATTAATTAGTTTCCAACTTATAACCTTTTCCCAGAGAAACAATATAGCTAAATCCTTCGCAAGAGATGCTGCTTCGTGGAACGCCTTCCCAAGAGGACGCTTCATAGTTCAATACAATCAACCGTTATCTTTCCTATATGGACGCATCATCTGCTCTTCATAAAAATAAAAATTCATTCAGCAGACCTCTGACTTTATGCTGCTTTGTATTCGGTTCATAACGATTAAAAATATGAATAAGTATAAAACAGATTTATATATATATATATATATATATATATATATATATATATATATATATATATATGTATGTGTGTGTGTGTGTGTGTGTGTGTGCCATGTGTGGCTGTGCCTGTGTGTCTTTATAGTTCTGAGATGAGGTATTGTAACTATTTACATTATTAAAACTGTTGTCCTCATCATTATTGCCATATTCACCTTCAACATCTGTCTCTATTTCTCAGATGAGGTATTGTAACTATTTACACTATTTACATTGTTTGGACTGTTGTCCTCATCTTTATTGCCATATTCACCTTCAACATCTGTCTCTATTTCTCAGATGAGGTATTGTAACTATTTACACTATTTACATTGTTTGGACTGCTGTCCTCATCTTTATTGCCATATTAACCTTCAACATCTGTCTCTATTTCTCAGATGAGGTATTGTAACTATTTACACTATTTACATTGTTTGGACTGTTGTCCTCATCTTTATTGCCATATTCACCTTCAACATCTGTCTCTATTTTCTCAGATGATGTATTGTAACTATTTACACTATTTACATTGTTTGGACTGTTGTCCTCATCTTTATTGCCATATTCACCTTCAACATCTGACTCTGTTTCTCAGATGAGGTATTGTAACTATTTACACTATTTACATTGTTCGAACTTGTTATGGGGTCCACCCCTTTTTCATATAAGTGGACTCTACCAGTGTACCTGGACTGCTGCCGTTAAATACCCAGAGTTAGACAGTCAGTGAGAGGGTAGACGGATAGTGAGAGGGTAGTCGGAAAGAGAGAGAGAGAGAGAGAGAATATACGAACGGAGATAGTGTGAGGTAACCACTTGTAGAAGTCAGTTACAAGCACGTAGACTCTAAGGAAGTCCTACTTCGAGACTGTATATATCTATCTGTATTTGCGACGAACTGTGTTCCTGTATTTACTAACAGTATTACCCTTGTATGATTGTGTATTTCTTATATTTAATTATTGCATTTGTTCTTCATTGGAGACCGAATTCATCTCGGAATCCACAACTTGCCGACAAGGATTCGAACACACCCGGGAAACAAAAAATCAACAAAAGAAAAATATTTCCTCGTCGTCCAACACAACAACTTGGCGACGAAGATTCGAACACGCGCGAAAAACAAATCAACAAAAGAAAAATCTTCCCTCGTCGTCCAACAAGCAAATTGGTTTCGAGCGACTCGAACTCACACGAAAAGGAGAAATAGAAAAATCCTTCCCTCGTCGTTCAACAATAAATTAGCGACAAACAATTTCGAGGAGTAATGTTCGCAGCATTTGGGTAACGCTGTATCTGTGAGCGTTCACATATGCGAAGTGGTAAGGCTGAAAGCCTGAGGGAAAAAGAGGAAGAGGCGAAGGGTCAGCGAGTATTTATAGCCAGGGAAGAGAGACCCCTGGTGAAAGGGTTAACGAACTAAAGGAGGATCTAACTCCGACAATATATATATATATATATATATATATATATATATATATGTATACATATATATATATATATATATATATATATATATATGTATATATATATATGTATATATATATATATATATATATATATATATATATATATATATATGTATTTATATATATATATATATATATATATATATTTATGTATATATATACATGTATATATATATTTATGTATATATATATATTTATGTATATATATTTATGTATGTATATATATGTATATATATATATATATATATATATATATATATATATATATATATATATGTGTATGTATATATATATATATATATATATGCATATATATATATATATATATATATATATTAAACCATAATAGTTAAATACTTTATTTCTTTTCAAAACTTAAAATTCAGCGAATGCTTGATGGAATTAATTCAAGAAATCAACCGTAAACTGTTACTGTTTTTTTTTTGTTTTTTTGTACATAAACTTCAAAGTCTATCATTCTATATATCTCTGCACTGAGGGCTCTTAGGGCTTATACTTGGTGAACAATAGCTTTAAAAAAATCTTATAATGAATTTAACACATTTTGAATAGTTAATTAATACTTTATTTCTTCAAATTTCTAAAGGAAACTGAGAAACGTGAGTCAAAACTTAAAATTCAGCGAATGCTTGATGGAATTAATTCAGGAAATCGGAAATTTTTTTTTGGATAATAGAGAACATAACGTTTGTGTTATTTTGAAATTGTTGAAAATAATGGTTGAAAATAATCATAGAAATATATTGTTTGTAATATTTATATAGTTTCACCACAAGTAACGCGATAAAGCCACTAAGACACAAAGTGTTACAGGATGTTGCTGGTCTGATAAGACGTCCCCGATATCATCCGTTTTCAAATGGGTATTTATGCAGATGACACAACTATTTCCTCTTGACTCTTCCTACTGCTCATGAAAAGGACCTCCAATCAGTGGATAACTGAGACAAGAAATAGCTTGTAAATTTTAATCAAACCTAACAAAACTGCTTCCATTAAATCACTTTTCTGACGGCTGATGCGAAATTCTAAGAGAACAAAACTTTGGTCCTTCTTGGACACAAAAGTGATTATATTGAATCAATTTCTACGTCTGACGTGCAAGAAATTCTTTCTCGTCAGAATCCATTTGCACATTTATAAATCTGCCATTCGTCTGTATGTTGAATACTTTTGGCATATGTTTGGTTTAGTGTTCCTGCTGTACATCTCCAGATACTTCAGGAAATCTAAATATGGGTCTGTATTGCTACTGATCCTGATATAGCATCTCGACTTCAATTCAACCACTTTCTTTTGGCTTCCTGTCTTCTTCTTCTTCTTTCTTTCTTTCTTTTTTTCTTTCTATCTATCTATCTATCTATCTATCTATCGATCTCTGTTCACGCACATACACACACAAACACACACAGATATATACTTTTCTTTTGTCTTTTCTACAAACATTTTCATGGCAACGTTTCTGGTGAGCTCTTTTGCCTCGTGCCTTGACTGTATGAATATAAACGCGCTATTTTGTTGGCAGTTAGGTCTCGCTAGCAAGATGCAACCGCCAGTTCTATTCTAATAGTTTCTTTTCTCGCACTTTTAACCTGTGGCTCTCCCATACGATTTCTTGATTCCCTGTCACGTACAACCTTAAACAATTTAAATACAACGTCACTCTTGAACTCTGGTCTTTTATTTTCCTTTCCTCAAATCTCATCATTAAAATTTTCTCATTCTCTTTCATTCTCAGTAACCTCCCTTGCGCCTTAGTGGCTTTACAGCCTTGCGGGGAAGGACTGTTACAAAAATTATCGTTTCACTTTTTTTTATAAATAATTTCACCAAAAGGAAGGCAAAAAAAAACACTAAGATGGAAGCGGTTGCTGAGAACATTTTGTAGAGAAGAAATAACAAAAGAATAAAACGAAGGAAGATGGCATAAGATGGCGATTGACGTGGCATTTAATTTTATGATAATCGTAATTGGTTTGGTGTTCCTGCTTTACATCTCCAGATCATTCAGGAAATCAAATATGGGTCTGTATTGCTACTGGTTCTGAGATAGCATCTGGACTTCAATCACTTTCTTTTGGCTTCCCTGTCTTTTCTTCTTCTTCTTCTTCTTCTTCTTCTTCTTCTTCTTCTTTCTATCTATCTATCTATCTATTTCTGTTCACACACACACAAACACACACAGATATATACTTTTCTTTTCTCGCACCTTTTTCATTTGGGTCTCCCATCCGATTTCTTGATTCTTGAAAGGAAATAACTGGGAGCAAGTTCAACAAACAAGCAGATTGAGACCAGAAAAAACATTAGAATTGTATTTACGCTTAATTGTAAAAATGTTCCATATTTAAATAATAAATCATGATTACCAATGTAAAAATTCTAGGAACCAAGATGTAGAGCTCCACAGAGCAATTTACGCTGGTGGGAAAGTAACTGAAGTCGAGATGCTACATCAGGTCCCATAATATTGCAGATATTCCTTTAGATTTTGGCAATTATATTTAGTAGAAACACCAGATCAGATGTGGCAACAATATGCAATGCAAGAACAAAATTTAGACTTACCAATTTGTAATACAGATTCGCGTGAGAATAATTATCTAGCACGGTGCAATGAAAGCAACATTCCTAGCAACAGCCTTAGCGACTGACTTGATATCATCGTTTCAACATCAGAAGGGGCAATGTATTACTTCCCTGGAGGCTAGCATCAGTCATACCGATGCAAGGTAAAAATTGGTTCTCTAAGACGATAAAAATAAAGCAAGTTTTGTTGGCTTTAAAATTCGCAAGGCTTTTCTTGCCCCATTTAACAAAAATTCCGATATCATTTAAAAACGTAAAAATTATTATCAAAGAGAAAATAACGATTGATATTGAATTTAAATTTTGAAGATCAAAGTTGACGGGAAAGCAATAAGCTTCTACCAAGCTTGGACTCTAGGGCTTAATATTGCAGAAATATCAGGGATGTGTCAATAGAGCTGTAGTCTAGTTGGATGTTGTCTCTAGGAGATGTTAAGTATAGCTCTCAACATCCGAGTGTAGATTCTTTCAACATTAGACTTAAGGGTTTAAGATTGTAGAAATATCAAGGATGGGTCCATAGAGCTGTGATTTAGTTAGATGTTGTCTCCAAGAGATGTTAATTGTTGCATGTTAAATTTATGCAGTTAAGTCACTAAGAAAAAAAGCCCATGGGAACAGTTGCCATGAAAGTATTTGTAAAAAGACAGAGGGAAGACATGTCATGGTAATAAAGTGACTGGAGTCGAGATGTCAGGTCAGTATCGATTATATTACAGAACCTTCTTTGAATTTTATCAAGAATCCTGAGATATAGAGTAAAAGCACCAGACCAGATATGGTAGCAATATTCAATGCACAGACAAAAGGTTGCTTTATAAATGTGAAAAGCATTCTAACTAGAGAAATGTCTGTTACAACATAGTGAGCAAAACTTTCTCGCAGTAGACTTAACACTTTATTCAACCGAATCGCTCCCCTTTATGTCAATCGAAGCAATGAACCCAGGACGGCGCAAAAATTTGATCTCCTGGAGGTTAGCATCAGCCATAATGATGAAAGGCAAAAATGGTTACACTTGTTCTTTTACACGGCTTTATACAAAGTTACTTTGCAGATATTAAGTGAGGTCCACAACGTTTCCTATATATTGTTGATTCCTTAGCAAAAGAATGAAAGACTGATTATTAAACAGATGTCTGGAATAAGCGTTGAAGGCATAATTATAAGAAAAAAACATTATTAGATTAAATATCCTTTAAACATTGTTGATTGCTGGTTTATTTCTCATGTGTCTGGAATATTTTAATTTGAAAGTTAAATGACAGGAATTAATTACTGTTTGCTCCGGACAGAATCGACAGTAGAATCAAGAGATTGCTTAACTGTCATTTGCAAAAAAAAAAAAAAAAAAAACGTAAAGAAGAAAGAGAGAAAAAGACAGGCCTTCTACGTCTCGCGTAATTTATGAAGGGTAGGGTGTCTCTTGGTGAATTAAGTAAATCAATATCTATGTGACGTGTATCCTTGTTCAATCATGACAGATCGAATATGGTTTGGGTGATATGGAGGTACAAATGAAACAACGACTTTAGCTCAGCGGTTTACTTCTAAGAAAAAAATACTTCCCTTTTCTAATGACCACGAGCTCACCATATTCTTTGACAGGTATTTGACAGGTAATTGTATATGGTGACAGGCGACCAGTTCGTATAAAGTCACCGATTTTCAGGAGGCGTATGCTTTCTTTTCATTCTGCTACTGAGAAAGGTTTAACCCATAGAAACGGTTATATAACGACCATTTACTTTTAATTATATATTCAGTTTAATTTTTAAATTATTTAATGATGAATTTCGACAGTTTATTGGTACTCGCTGCGAGAATCGAACCCATAATAAGTTATGTGACGGTATCCACAGTGACACACATACGGCTTTCGGCAGACTCACATTGAAACCACGCTTCTCGTACAATCACCGAAGGTAAGCAACGTCTAACGTGGCCAGTGCCAAGATCGGTGAACGTTTTCGAATATCAGGTGATGTAAGCTTGAATGTGCTTATGTTGTGATAGATAACAGCACCGTATTGAAAATAGGTGAGCTGAGCTTCAATTTCATTCGGGTTTGTTATGAAGGTATGAGTTTAACTCTTATCCCCCATCTATGGATTAATAAGTAGGGCTCTCATCAGTAGATTATTATAATCTGCAAAAATGTCCTTACAGTTTAAAAAGAAATTGCTGAATTGAAAATAAACAGCAAAAAGGCTGATAGGCCGTAAAACAAAGCTATTAATCACACATACACGCAAACACACATACACACGGGTGATAGATAGATAGATAGATAGCGTGAATAAAAAATAATCGGCAAAAGGTTGGTAAGTCGTAACAAACAAATGAGATATCACAACAACACGCACACGTGTAATAGATAGATAGAAGATTGGCATATATATATATATATATATATATATATATATAAAAGTGAACATAGAAGTCAACACTTAGAGGCGACAGTCTGTTTCATGCTATATGCAATCGTCAGGCCACACACGCTCTATCTCTGATATTGAGCACTTTATCCCATAAATATAGCACACCTTAAGACTATATTTCTTTATATATATATATATATATATATATATATATATATATATGAACAGAGATAGACAGATATATAGAAAGAAGAAGAAGTAGCAGAAGAAAGAAAACTGATATACGTAGATAGACAGTGTGAACATATAATAATCAAAAAAGGTTGATAATCAGTAAAAAACAAATAACTCAATTACACACAGATACACAAAGCTCATAGATAGACAGCATGAATATAAAAAAATTCACTGCATTGAACAATAATAGTTACACTTAAGCTGTCGTCAGACGTTTACGGAGAGCAGACAGGGATTTTGTTTTAATCATTTCAATCCAAGCAAGGCGATAAAGCCACTAATACGCAAGTGATTACAGGGGATGAAAATAGGGTGAAGGAAATTAAGTAAGATTTACTGAGGGGGAAGGATTGTAAAAAAGACAAGGTTTCACGGGGACAGGGGACGATAATTGACGTTGCATATAAAATGTTATTTATTGTAGTTGGCAGGAGTAATGAAGCTGAAAGCGTTTTCCACAGGCGGAAGAATAGACTTTTAGAACATAAATTACAGTTACATTTAGCAACTTAAACAGTAAAATAATGAGACCTAACTGCAAATCTAGTACTGTGCTATCTTCACAAAATCGTGGTACCAAAGAGAAAAGCTTAATATGGAAACATTTGTCTAAGAAAGGCAGAGTAAAGATACGTTACGGTGGTGGTAATATCATTGAAGCTGAGGATGAAAGAATTCTTAGGTGTTGTGATCTGGATTTCAACGAAGGCGATAATGAGGATTTAAAATCTACATTCCGAGCGAATCTACATATTTTTAAAACGGAACATGGAAACTAATGCTGATTTCTATATTCAACAAGGTTTATGAGTTCACTAATGTCATTACAAACGCTATATCTCTAGGACTGAGTACACTCTATCCACTGTCGAGGAAATTTCAATCCCCCAAAATCTAGAGCCGTTTCAGATCGGAGAAAAGAAGCAAAAGCGCTTACCTTAAGTTGCGAAATAAGAATCCTTTCCGCGACGTCACGTGACCGTATAACTTGCATAAATTAAATGTAAAGAATGAGAAGGAAAAATAATTCCTCTCCCTTATAAGAACTTAAAGTCACGTCACTCCTGTAACCATAAAAAGATAATAAAAAAGAAATCACTTTTAGATTATTTACATTATTCGGACTATTGTCCTCATCGTTGTACGCTCCGGCCTTCTTCAGGTGGTTGGAATGTCGAACTGAACCCTTTATTTCGCTCACTGGTTAGACTGTTATAGTTCCACGTGCCATGTTTAATGAATGTCAGTTATCAGTTATCTCCTGTTAATTTTTCTCTCCACTGCCTTCACAGGGTATTGAACTCACACATTTTGGGTCCTGTCATGGATCTAAGAACCGCCTTTATCCACTGTGTCATGTGTCCTTGAGGTCGGCGCGTTCAACGGCCGAAACGTTGTAATAAATATGGCGACAAAGATGAGGACAATAATCCGAATAATTGAAATAGTGTACATAATATCTCATCTCAGAAATATAGACAGATACTGAAAGGCCGAAACGTTGTAATAAATATGGCGACAAAGATGAGGACAATAGTCCGAATAATGTAAATAGTGTACATAATACCTCATCTCAGAAATATAGACAGATACTGAAATGCCGAAACGTTGCAATAAATATGGCAACAAAAATGAGGACAATAGTCCGAATAATGTAAATAGTGTACATAATACGTCATCCCAGAGATATAGAGAGATATTGAAAGGCCGAAACGTTGTAATAAATATGGCAAAAAAGATGAGGACAATAGTCCAAATAATGTAAATAGTGTACATAATAACTCATCTCAGAAATATAGACAGATACTGAAGGGCCGAAAGGTTATAATAAATATGGCAAAAAAATGAGGACAATAGTCTGAATAATGTATATAGTGTACATAATACCTCATCTCAGAAATATAGACAAATATTGAATACTGAAGGGCCGAAATTTTGTCATAAATATGGCG